GATCAAAAACTCTCCCTGCAGCAGTTGAGCTACTGAACCCGTCTATCACAATCATTAAAGCGGTTCAGTCGCTCAAATCAGAGCCCGCGTGGGTGAAGTGGCGTTGGCAGTTACAAGGACAAATGCCATGGCATGCAATGGGTGTCTACCTCCGTCAAGCATCTCGACTCCCTTGGACTCGAGAACTAGAAGAAGCATGGGGCGCGACTACAACTCTGAAAAAAGGAGTCGCAGAAGAAATGCAGACGGGGCCACTGTGGAAGTCTTTCATGCAGCTGTTCTCGGAAGCTAAACAGCATCGTGAAAAGGAGCTTAAGGTTCAAGGAACAAATGCCCAACATACCCGACAAAAGGGAGACCGCGTGAACTCTAATATCCAGCAAATGCTCAGCAACGCTGAGAACATGTCAAACGAGATCCCTGTTAATCATCCTCTAATTGATACTTCAACATTTGACTCGTCTCTGCATATATCTCCGCCAGCAGACAATGGGGCTCTCTCCGTGGAACGTCTGTCAACGAGTCTAGGTACAGCGACTGATGATGTTCCTTCATGGGTTGAAGCAGGAGGTAACATGAACTTTGGTCAAGACCAAAACTTCGGAAACTCGTCCTCTGATGGAATGGCTGATGGGGTGGATTGGGAGGCCTTGATGGATCTGGATGAGACATGGAATTGGGACTTCCTGTAGACCACAGTAGATTCCTTTAGCTGGCAGCGATGGACAAACTTGTTCATTCAGACTTTAGACACTTCCAAGTATACGAGAATAATTATTGCCTGTTTTCTCTTTTGCATTCCTTGCATCCGCTCATGAAGAAGACGAGCTCACACAATCTGCCGAGTTCCGGCCTTTCCCTACGATGCATTCCCATCTTCGATAAAGGGTCACAAATGTTGCCTTTCGCAAAGTTAAAGCTCAGATACCACTGAATTAGGTTATCAAAAGCAAATATACTCCTTAAAATCCCTAGTTAGGTGCTTTTACGAGCCGTACAATGGACCTTTGCTGGTGACATTCCGTGATTTCACATACCCAGTTCCCACCACGCGCACTATTGACTGAGAGGGTCTGTCTCTATTCGGAATAGAAACATTGCTTTTCTCAATAGGCGGCAAACCGGCACCCAACTGTGGACTCTGTAAGATCCTATGTAGGGCCGCTTGGAGCTTTACATCCCTTGGCTTGATGACCAGTGGCATCTGTCACACATCATTATCAACATCCATACGTACAAGAGGATGCGATGTAAAATATAAGCAATTAAGAACATATCTAGTGCATGATCTACTGCCAGGAACAGAGCGTTCCTGGATCCTTTAGTTGGATCTCAACAGCCTTAACTCCATCAAAGTTACAACGTTGATATTCACATATCCAGGAACGATTCTCCACGCCCTGTGGAATACCGGCACATTTCGTCTATTACGTTTCGCAAGGTCCCAGAGCTATTCAGGGTCTCGAACAAATAGTGCAAAAGTAAAACTCCTATTCACAGCGTTGCTAATACCCCAGCTTCGTATTACGGCAACCGGAACGTCTAGCTCTGCAAGGGTTCAACCTTCTGGACCTCGAGTATCGTGACGGGCCAGGGGGTCCCGGCTAACGGCAACGACCTCATCGTTTGTCAAGGGAGCGTAGCTGATCGTATAGTTAATTGCGTCGAGTGACTCGAGTCAAATGAAGACCGGTAGCTGAATTCTCAGCTGCTGAGCCTCACTAGGGCGATAACCCGCTGTCACAGGGCCGAGAACACGGTTAGTGATGTGCAGAATATCTAGAATGGGTCTATACGAAGACATCCATCCCTTGGCACCATGTGGTTTCGACGCTTGACACAATACATATCCGCCTATACCTCAACTTACCGCCTTATCCCCAGGGTATAGCAATAAAGTCTACATCATTCCACAAGAGGAGTTTCAGAATAACAGGATCCAACTTCGTAATGATGGATACGGACGGGCCAATGGATGAATGGGCCATATTTCGGCAGCGGCGGGCAGCCGGCAGTGACGGCGGGATAGTCTCAATAGTTTGCGATAGCTTATGACTGAACGGGAGTTAGCAGTGGGACTAGTGGGCAAAGTGTCGTATAGCAAGTCATGATGTGATTCCAAGACTCGGCCGAAAGTTATTACGAGGAATTGAAGGGTCGGTTTGTCTCGGCGGTTATAATTAACCTGTCAAGCAAATAGTCATGTCATGTCTCGTCTCGTCTTTGGAATGTCTTGTCATGATGAATAATGACGAATCTGAGACTCATTACCACGAGTACAGCTACATATCCGTACAATCGGTTCAGCATTTGCCGTCCCTTGGAATGATTCAGAACGCCTCTGCCGGTTTCCCAGAGAACAAAGCAAACAATGATTCGAGGGTCCAGAGGTTGAGCCAGATCTGTCGAGATATTCCCATGGAAACGTTGGATCGAAAAGTCAGATTCTTTCGCTCCCGCCGTTGGTGGTCACACCAGATCTGCTCATCCTCCAATAGAAAGGCCAAGGTATTTCTAGATGCTGCAAACAGTGGCGATTCGAGATAAATAAAGACACGAACCAACTGATAGAGGGTCAGGCGTGAACGTTACTGGACAGGCTAGACAGGCTAGACAGGCTATATGCAAGCCACGCGAAGTTGCCAGGGCAGAATGCCACCCGAGTTTGAAAGCCCCTATGCGCGCAAATGCAATACAACAGAGTGTCATTATCAAGAGCGCATAACTGCATATGCATATATCGCTGTGCATCGTTCCGGACATAGCGCGATCGGGCACTCGCACGTCCCCCCATGCCAAGTCGCAGATGCCAAGAGGCCATTGCAGATTAGGTGCTCAGTCGACAAGTTTCACAATAACGGCTGCCAATTTGAGACCCTGCTAGCATCTCTGAACAATCGCAACAATCACACCGAGATTTCAACACTGATCGTCCTCGATAGGAATTTCCAACGCTAATATTTAAGCGCAACGCGCGACCGGGCGATAAGGCTGTCGTCGGATTGGATTGGATAAGAGAGCCCTCGAACCAACTGCAAGGAAAAGGGGGTGACGGGTAAATTGGGGGCGGACCGTTGTTTAATGAAAAGAGGCACGGAAACGAATTAGTGGAACTTGTTCAGTGGACCGGACAGTAAGTTTCACGGTTACAAGATATTCCGTGTGCGTCTCAGCTTTGAAGAACCGGGCTCTGTGTTACTTTTGGTGCCGAGACAAGACAAGGGCGGTATGAGACGAAAACTGATCGCCAAAGCTCAAACATAAGCAGTCAAGTCATACCGCAACTACTCGAGCTCAAGGAAAGCATTGTTTTCCCCCTCTGGATCACATCTAGTCATCCTTGCAGGATATGACCATGCTGGGCATGTCTCCTGAACATCGCGGGAAGGAATGGAGTTGAAGTGGCATGGAAAGATTGGGATTGTCATCTTTTGCGAAACGCCCTAGATCTGCAGGATTCCAGATTGCTCCGCAGTAAGCAATTGGATAAGATGAAGGAATTGGCGCTTTTCGAGCCGTTATTTGGTTCGGTATGGCTTTAGATAGTCTTGCGTAGTGTCCTTTTTCTTTCCGACGCTTGTTGAGGGATTTGAGTATTTGATCGTCGGTCGATTCTGGTTTGGAGCCCTGACTTGGATGCTTCGAGAAAGAATTGCAGCCTGGGCTACGCAATCCAATGCAACCTTATTCTGACGAACATTGCGCATGCCATAGAATGGCTCTGCTGGAAGTTATATACGGCTTTGAGTAGTGAGGCTCTACTGAGTTTTGATGATAATGGAACTCAATTCAAGTATCGATTCACAATTTCACATGGCGTCAAATACAAGATTTTACTGGTCTAGCAGGGTCTCTAATCTCGAAGATCCAATGTGGCTTGCCGATGCTGAAGCCACGTTCTATTTGGGGTTCTGTTTCAAGCCTCCGACGCGATGTGTGTCACTGTGGGGAGATTGAATTGAAGACCAATTGAGGCGATGCAAAAAATGAGGCAATTGCGAGGAATATCCGTAGTTTGCATTACATTCCGAGTAAGCGTCCGGGTTAAACATCTGTGCCTAGCATTTGTCTCGTCCTGACTTGTCTTGTCGAGGGAGTCTTCTCAGCAGCAGGGAAACCCTTGAGTTTGAAGCAAAAGTTTGATGCGGGCTAATACCAAGCTTTTTTGTCTGAGGTAGGTAGGTCGCGGGCGCCTCCTACGCCTGCCGAGCCCCTGACGAGTTTGGACGGTCCCCCCGTAGAAACGTAACGCCCCCTGAGCATCTCAGCAATTGGATGGTAGCCAAGAGATCCTTCGGAGTGGTAAAGGCGAAAAAGCCCAGCTTTTTAATCGCTGGGGGGCTCTGTCGCTTTGGGCTCAATTGGGGATGCGGTTTTAAAAGCGGCGGGAAGCGTCGAGATAGATAACCGCCTGAGAGTAAGCACATGCGGGCAAGGATGGGGTTGAGGCGTAAATTCAGTTACAATCATTTCCTTTTCTTACACTGTTCTGATGAAGACGAGAGTTTCTGGTAACAAGGCCCCGCTTGCGCGTCACGTTAAAGCCCCTATCTCTCCAAGTCCCAAGTCCCAAGTCCCAAGTCCAGGTCTAGCAGCTCCAAGCAAGCAAGCCCGCCCGTCCCAACCAACCAACCTCCACTGAACTGAGACTAAACTTAACTTATCTTTTGAGGTCGCCTTCCTTTCTTCTGCCTTAAGGCTTATCCCCCCCAGACCGGAAACCCCCCTCCTATCCAACCTTTTTCTTGCCTTGTTTGTCCCTCGTTCCTCGCAGCAAAAAATCTCTTGGCTCATTCAAGACTTTTTACCTGCATCGCCAAACTCGTTCTTTTTTTCCCGCCGGTCGAGGGTTGTGATGATTTGATATTTCTCTCCTTCAACATCCATCCACTCGTTGCAATTTTACATCGGTTCGATCCGACCGACACTGAGACTGAGACTGGGACTGTACAGGTACAGACAAAGGCTCAAATCGCAAATCGCATCGCAAATCTCACATAATGGCTGTCGCTCTTCCAAGGCGATTTTACTCGCTACTCTGGGTCGCAGTCCTCCTTGCGCTCGTTGTATTCTTCATCTTCCTCCGCGAAGACACCTGGTCTTCAATTCCTCGACCTCCCAGCGGCTGGAAGATTCCTTTCACCACAGACGATGGCGTTCTCTCATCATGGATGGGCGGTAGCAAGAAGCAGGGTAAGGACCCCAAGGAGCCTCTGCGCATCATGCTCGTAGAGTCCTCAGGCACACACGACGAGGTCGCCGCTGCTCTCATGCACGCTTTCGGAAACCAGGAGGGCTCCTCGCTCGACGTCTACTTCGCCAATCAGCGCTTCAACATGCAGGGCATCATGGCCAACTTCACCCTCGCTGCCAACGTCACCATCAACAAATGGGACAAGTTCGCCAACGACGTCACCGAGAACCCCCCGCATATCCTCGTCTCTACCACCTGCGAGTTCGATCTCGACCGTGGCACCGATCCTATCGTCAACCTCCTCAAGACCGCAAACACCCATCTCTTCTGCACAATCCACCACGCTGATCGATGGGCCCAGGGCAAGTACGTCCAGGCTGTCCGCAGCTGGGCAGAGCACGAGCGCGTTGACTTTGTTGGTCTGAGTCAGCACACCGTTGACTTCTTCCTCAACGACACCATTCCCAAGTGGCATACGGCTGCTAACCTTACTACTCGCGTCATTCCCCCGGTGTTCCCCGTTGACATTCCCGATCCTGATCTCGAGCCTGGCATTTCTCTGTCTCTTCAGGGCGATTACTCTGACGGCCGACGTGACTACAACGGTGTCTTCAACCATCTCGGCAGCGTCATCCGAAAAGCCAAAGAGGAGTCCGAAGGTCACACACCTCAGAATGTCAGCCTTCATCTCGTCGGACACGGCACTCATCCCGAGGTTCCCGATCACGTCAAGGACCACGTCTTCTTCGACGAGGGTCTTTCCTACCCCGATTTCTACACATTAATGTCCAAGTCTTTCGCTGTTCTTCCGGCGTTTGCCTCTGAGACATACTTCGACCGCAAGGCCTCTTCAACCATTCCCGCAGCTTTGATCGCAGGAGCCCCTATCGTTGCGACAGAGGAGCTGCTCAAGGCTTACTCTTACCTACCCCGGGAGGCTACCTGGGTTGCCCGACCAGGCGAGGGCGAGATGGACGTTATTGAGCGAGTGATTGATGACCGAGACGGTTTCCTTAAGCGAAGGCAGGCCGTGAGGGATTTTACCAAGTCGCTATTGGAACAGAACCAGGCCAACACCAAGGCCTGGATCAACGAGGCTTTTGAAAAGTATAACCGCAACTAAAGACAACTAGATATGATTTATTGGGATTTTTGCACTTTTTTTGTTTGTACAATTACGCGGCACCATTTCACATGATCGGGAATCAGGATGAGCGGCTCCATGTTTCCAGAGTTTTTTTGAACCATGCATGAACATTCTTAATATACGGACGGTTTCTTAGTACATTGAAAATACAATCACGAAATACCACTTACACCAAGTTTTCCTCCAACATTCCAGTGATGTCAGTTTTTAAGATGTCTCCATTTAATTTACAGCGGGTGGCTGGCGGGAGTCTCATAGCGAGCCGCAATTCTCCGTCTCCCTTGCGTGAAGCCATGTAATCGAATCCGGTATTTGGAACATGAGAAAAGAAAATAGTGAATCATGATTCCGGAAAAGCGTTTGGCAGAGCGCCACCAATAGAAAACCTGAGATATTTCCAAGGAATAGGTAAGCTAAATAGGCTATCCCGTCTTGGCTCTGCAAGATCAGATGAACACTGTCTTTCTTCAGTTTCTCTTACGTGTACACTTTTCACTGCGGAGCTCATAAAGATTTGATATAAACGTATAATTTGCATCTTGAAGCTTCTCTCCCTCGTTGCGCACTGCTGAGGGAGAAAATAAGGGCTAAACTGGATACCCCAGACTACATAGTAAATCGTCTCTATGTCTAAGGTATATAGAATCGGAAAAAAAGTATGCCGAAAACCTGATCATCCAAACACCAGTCGTCATGATGAAGCCCGCCATACCCCAAGAATAATAAAAAGAAAAAGGAAATGGTATATGTTATTTCATCTCATGACCAGCAAGAGGAAGTTAAGATCTTATCGCTTGAGATCTTTGGCTTCCTTGCTGTCCACCATTTCAGCTCGGCCCTCCTCTTCGCGAGGCAAAAGCTGGTAGCTGCCAGCGGCCTTCTTGGCCTGCTGGTATCGGTCTCGGGCCCAGCCGTAGAGGGCACTTCCGGCAAGAATAAGAGCCATGCTGCCGGCGCGATCGGCAGTCAAAACCTCACCGAGCAAAACAACGGCGAGAGAGCTCTGGGCAACACCTCGAGCGGCAGTGACGATCATGTGTGTGGTCGGGCTAGTGACCTCGATTTGCATAAAAGTGGCGATAGTAAGGAGGAAGGCCGAGACACCGGTCAAACAGGCGGAGCTGAGGAACTGGCGGGCGACATCCATGGACTCGACGGTGAAAAGGCTGCTCATAGTGTTCATCTCCCCAGAAAGAGGGAAGAGAGGAATATAGAAAAGGACGGCCATACAGTTGGACATCCAGACCATCTGCCACATACCCTCCTGGCTCTTACCCAGGAATCGCTTGACGACAACGGACTCGACGGCGGTGGTGAAACTAGATCCGACACCGAGGAGAACACCCTTGCCGGAAGTAAGCATCTGGCTGTAGTCGGCCATCATTCCAGTTCCGAAACCAGCCATGACCATGGCGCAGCCGACGAGGGAGATAGGAGGGTAGTAAGGACGAGGTCGAAGAACCAGCAGAGACAGGAAGAGAGTAAATGGTAGTAGAAGACCACGGGCGATCTGGTAGACGGAGGCGTTGACCGAGGCGAGGCAGTATGTCTTGGCCAAGATTCCAATGAGACGCGCGACCGTGAGGGGTAGAAGAGCAATCCAAGCCTGAGATTATATGTTAATGGACTGTCTTTAACGAAAGAGACATTGAGCTGTGTCACTTACATTGAGTGGTCTGTTCAGCTTGACCCATCCTGTAGCAACTCCAATAATTGTGAGCAGTACTACTTGTATCGTTGTCTGGAGAGCAAGCAATGTGACGGGGGCCTCAACACCATTGAGGGCCGACTTGGATAGAATAGTGCTCCAGATAGCACATGATGAATGGAAGAGCACCACCAGGGCAACTCTCATCCGTGAAGGCGGGGGACGGTTCTCGACCTGAGGTTGTTCGGCGGCAGCCATTGTGACAAAAAGATATTAAGGTTTATGTGGACTATGTATGTGTAGAACCAACAACAACCAAAATAGTGTGAATGTAATGTAATGTAATGCAATGTAAGGTAAGATCAAGTAATGAAACGAAAATGGATATGAAAGAGTAGGAAGAATACGAGAGAAGAGAGTAGAGTAGAGTAGAGTAGTAATAGAAGAAAACAACAACCAAGTCAGTCAACGTGATGTGGGTAAACGAATGTCTGAAGCGAGCTTCTGAGTGAACAAGCTTCCAAGGGTCTTCTCTCTCTCAACTCGGACTAGGAACCAAAAAAACACGAAGATGTATGAAAAAGTCAAGACTCTCTGGAGGGGAGAGGCTGGCAAATACGGGCTGCCCGGAGGTTTTGTTGATTGATTGATCAAGTCTATTTCCGCACTAGGACCCAAATACGCAGGCACAGAGAAGCCCCCCAAGACTAAAGACTAGGGTGTCGTCAGTGAGAAGTAGTGTGTGTATCCAGTGCCACAGGCGGAATAGGGGGTTTCCGTTTGCCTGCTTGCGTTGCTTAAATGGATCGAACGCGTTATCCCAGTGGGGAGCAGGGTAAATCTGGCGCCACACCTTGGCCTTGGTTTTAAACTTGGACACTGGATATTGCTCCAGCCTCGCTAACGAATGAGAGGACTCGAGAACCATGGCTATACTCCATCTCGACTATGTTCCTTGACCTTCCGGGTCATGGGCCTTGTTCCCTGGAAGCTCTACCGAAGTACCGCCATCGAGGGGTTTATTGTGCTGGAGCCCGAGCCTGCCATGCCATGCAAGGCCAGGCCAGGGGACGGAGGAGGTTCGTTGATGAGATTTGACATTGGCCTTAGCTTGGCCTTAACTTAGGCTAACTAACAGGACGCGGGGCGTTGGCGAAGAATCGGCGGCTGTGACAAGGCGGAGAGTGGCAGGGGGGCACAAGCAAACTTGACACCTTCGTCCTAAGTGATGGAAAGACTTAGGTAATTTAGTCCAAGTTAAGAGAAGTCTTTACTGGGTTTATTTTGACAACCTCTTTTAAAGTCTCTTGTTTTCTTGCTCCTTGAGGAGTGGCATTGCGTTGCATCTGCTGCAATGATGGGAAGTGGGAGGAATCACTCACTTGGTGGGAACTGTGCAGGATAGCGCTTATTGCCAGTTGTGGGGGGTCCGTCTAGCCACTGAAGATATGCAGCTACAGAGGCTCTTGCGAGTGACGTCGAGATTCTAGGAAATGCAAGTGTTGATCAAACCTCCGCCATTGGTCCCCTGTCGCGGCGAATAAGGTAGGATGACCCCTTACTAAAACTCAAACAAATAAGCCAATTTTTAAGTCTATGTACTAAGGGTTGCAGTCAGTTTGAATGGATGGACAGACACAGACTCGATGTTTTGTTTTACAGTAGTATGTATTACCCGCTGTAAGCTTTGGAAGGATCATCAGTGCGTTGCCGACGACTCAGTCAGCCGTTGATTGTTTGCACAAACGCACTCGAGGCGCGAGTAATGCATGAGACTCCGCCGGAATACCTCCCCATAGAGCCGACAGCCTCTACTACAGATGCAAGAAAACGCCCGAGGATACTTTACTGTCCCGTGTGTACCGAACTGTAAGGTAGCCAAGAGTCAACGGGGAGCAAGACAAGAGCCAAGATAGCAATAATCAGGTTTTGCTGCAGCCACGCATAACCCATCACCTTGTCCTCTCCCGTCCATGATCTTCCATTACCTCCTCAGCCGAATACCACCTTCATTTCTCTCCTCTTCCCTTCATTGCTCCGATGTAGGATATTCCCCACGTGATAATTACACAAACTCGCCTCAGTGGCTAGGGACCGACTGGAGGAATCCATGGAGCGTTTCAGCTTTGAGAGACGATCCCCAAGGTCTGAGTTCTCTCTTCCTCCGTGCTCGTCATCTTTCTTGATTAAGACAGGGCGGATTTCGGTGAGTTGCATTATAAGGGATCTTAGCCCCGAAAAAAATAATCGAGGGGAACAGGAAAAGTGGACGGCTCTTTGATGAAGATAGACAGCTTACTCCGCCCGGATGATGATTATGTGAAACCTGAGTAAGGCATTGAATGCTTGGCGATGCGTGTATCAATCACGTTTGCGAATAACGGGTCCTGAACTGGCCACTCTGTGAACAACGTGAGACTTGGGTGAGGTGATGATTGTTTTATTCTTGGTTTCGTTATTGTACAACTCGCAACGAGACGCGCGTATGCGATTTTCTTTTTCTTCGCTGTCTCTATTCTTCTTCATACAGGCAAGGACATAACTGTAAAGAGGCGAGTAAAAATCTAAGATGCGGTGTCGAAATTAAAGACAATATGGTAGCGCCATGCATGGTATCCCCTGTTCCATTCCCCATTCAGTGCCGCCCCAGACAAGATAGGACTGCTCTATCAGGATGAGATGGGTGACATGTTAATGTGTATGCGTATGTTAAAAAATGTCTCCCATCAAAATAGCAGAACTTCCCCCAGCCGGCTCGGGGCAACCATTCAACTCTAAGCAGAAAAACATCATTGGTAATATAAAGAGCTCCAATGCTGGGTATGGGTAGTAAGGAAAACATTATATCTGGCTGCTAGCCAGTTCATCATGACGAGCCAGCCTCAGCCTGGGGAGTAGGTGTAGGCACAGACTTGGGCTTGGGCGGGTCAGCAGCCCTGAGGCCATCCTTGACCTCCTGCTCAAAGTACATGCGGGCCACATCAAACGCAGAGTCGATGCTCTTTGTGATCTTGGTGCACCCACAATCGCGCGTCCATGTGTTGTGGAAGTTGAGGTTCTTACCCAACTTGCTATCCATCAGCACGTGTGGTACGCCGATAACTGTCGACAGAATGTGACCGTGGAGACGGTCCGTGATGACGAAGTGAGCAGAGCCCAAGAGCTCGAAGCCCGCCATCGACTTGGCCCACGCTCGCTGGTTCTTACCCTCCTCGCGATGGGCTTCGTCGTCGATAGAAGGGGTGTTGGTGAACTTCCAGTCGACCTTGTTGTATGTTACGTTGCCGATGCTGCCACCTAGATCGACCTTGCCCTCTCCAAACTCGATGCTACCAGAGTCGCCATCAGAAATCTCGGCATCCTTTCGGGCGAGAATCAGAATATCGTGGCTAGATACAAAGTTAGCCTTCGTTCAACGGTTAGGCTGGCTGACAATACTAACGTCTTTTTTGTGTTGTGTCGAAAGTCAGATCGGTTGCCCCACATGAAAGCAATATCAGGAACAAGATCACTCTGAATACCCTCGGTCTGTCCAAAGTTGTCCATGAGCCAGTCGTAGCTGGGCTTGTCACGAGCAGCCAACTGCAAATCGTGGTGCTTGGTGAAAGCCTTTTTGGTCTTGTCGATCCTCTCGGGGTTGGTCATGTAGATACTCTGGGGGAAAGCTCGGATGGAGACGTTGAGGAAGTTCTCAATCATGTTCATGCGCGAAGGTTGGTCCTCCCAGTAGTAATCGTTGAAGTTGCCGCCACCAGCCATGATGATACCAGAGTGTGGGCGGTGCTCCTCCAACTTCTTGCGGAACTTTGTAATGTCGCAGTCCTTGTACATGAAGCTGTATCACATTACATTAGTATTGATGTTGTCCAACGTGGTACAGATGAGATCCTTACCGGCAGGCTTCCATAGTCTCGATTCCAAGGATGCTCAGCAGAATCTGCTGTGCGGACCAGATCGCAGCATCACCCTTGTTCTCTGTCTCGAGATAACCCCAGATGTTGGCGTAGCGAATTCCTTCGAACCTCTTCTGGTAGGCGTGAATGAGACGCTGCTGTAAGTCGTTGACGATGTTCTCGCAACCCGGTGTAGGAGCTCGAGTCAAATCGTAGGAGATATCTGTGTTGGGGTCCTTGTCCAACTCTGTGTCCTCCTCTCCAGCGCCCACGGCACCAGCGGCGTCGGTAGGCTTTGGGGGCTCGTCGATAGTGACATTGTCGCCTTTCGAAGGCCAATGCCAGTCTGTACTTGGTAAATGATCCTTAAAGCTCTCAGGCGCCTGGTAAGACACCAATATAGCGAAGACGAAGAGCACAGCAAACACGGCTAGCGCGATGCGTGTGAAGCGGTTCATCGCAGTTAACATGATGAACTCATGGGAAGTAGATGTTTTAGGTTAGAGTTATGGTTGTGGTTGTGGAAAGGAGTGGAACACCCGGATATTTCTATCACGGGCTGGGCTAAAAGAAGCAAGCAAATGCGGCGAAAGGATAAGATAGAAGATGCAATGGAAGGGAAAGAGAAAAAGAAAGTATATTGAAACGTCTTTTGAACTTGGGAATAAAAAGATGCGACCCCCCATCCCCATAGTTACCACATCATCCTAGTCCTTCTACTAAGTCGGTACCTACCTCTAGGCTCTAACTTAGTGCCTCCCGTCCCATCCATACCTAATCCACATTCACCCCACCTCCATCTCCTGGGCTTGGCTGGCGCTGGTTCCTCCACTCGGGCGATTCAATGATGGATGCGTTCAAAGTGCGCCACGACCACGCGCCTGCAACTCACCGCACCCATGGCCCATCCACAGATTGTCTCGACAGGGGTGCAGAGTCTCTGATGTTGATGATGATCGTTGTAGCCCCCTATTCCTCTGTGGCATATGTATGTATGTAGGTATATACCCAAGCAGGCTCTGTCTGCAGCCAGTTCGGAGCGCCAGGGACCCTCGGCCGGGATGTGGATTCCTGACGTCGACAACCGGCCTCATCAGCGACTTCGTATCCCGGCAAGATTCACACAGCGGGGCTACTCACTTATGCAGTATATGGAGATATGCAAGAGATGCAATTATTGACTCTTACGCGGCGCAAGGAAAAAAGAGTGGGAAAGGTCCTACTGGGATGCTTATCGCATCAGTTGAATGTAGCCAAGTTGGCCAAGAACGGACGCAAGCCCCCTTTTCCTTACTTCCCACTGACAATTGTACCGTGCAGCAGAAGTTACAGTGATACACCCTTTTTTTCTTATTCCCATCCCTCCCTATTCCTATCCCTAGTTATCCACTCGACTTGGCATCTCCACGGTGGCCTTTGGTTGATTGACTGGATCGATTTTTATCTGGAGCCCTTCGCTTTTCCTCGTCTTGTCTTGTCCTGTCCCGCATATCGTATCGTATCGTATCGTGTCGTGTCGCTTCGTGTTCTTTTCGAGATTCGTCATTCTCTGCTACGCATTGAGTCACTGTTGAACGACATTTCGGCCGTTCGTCCATTCTTTTTTTAGAAGCCGTTTTAATCGCTTGCGACCGACCGACCGACCGACTCGACACCACAGCCATGGCTGACCAGAACAAGAAGAACGACGACTTCGTGGCTAAGATGCCCGAGTCTGCCAACGAGAACAATATTGGCGATGGTGACAAGGAGGACGACTCCCTTGTTGGCCGCGGCCCAGGCACTGATGCCCTCCCCGCGCAGCCTTCAGGCTTCATGAACAAGATCGAGAACAGCGGGCCATTCTCTATTCTTGCCTACTGTCTGTCTTCTATTTCCATGACCGTCGTCAACAAGTATGTTGTGTCTGGTACATCATGGAACCTTACTTTCTTCTATCTCGCAGTCCAGGTACATTTTTCGCTATTCCCCGAGTTCAAGGGATGTCAATTAACTCGGTGTCTCTGTAGTCCATTGTCTGCATTGTTGCCATCACAGCATGCAAGCAATTCGGCATGATCAAGTCCCTCGCTCCCCTTGAGATGGACCGCATCAAGAAGTGTACGTTATGATTGCTTTTCACGAGTGAGGGCCATTGGCTAATGTGATCTGAACAGGGTACCCAATTTCGCTCGTCCTCGTTGGTATGATCTACACAAGCACCAAGGCTCTGCAGTACCTCTCCGTGCCTGTCTACACCATTTTCAAGAACTTGACCATCATCGCCATTGCTTATGGTGAGGTCCTTTGGTTTGGTGGTTCCGTCACACCCATCGCTCTCTCTTCATTCGGTCTCATGGTTCTGAGCTCTGTGGTTGCTGCCTGGGCTGATATCAAGAGCGCTATCTCTGGTGACTATAGCGCCACTACTGGTGATGCTGATGCTCTTGCGACTTTGAATGCCGGTTACTTCTGGATGGCCATGAACGTCTTTTGCTCTGCTTCTTATGTTTTGGGCATGCGCAAGGTTATCCACAAGATGAACTTCAAGGATTGGGACAGTATGTTTATCCCCCAGGTGCAATCTCAGTCTTGCGCTTAAAACACTGCATGAATGAGAACAGCTGCTAACAAGTCGATAGCCATGTACTACAACAATCTCCTCACCATTCCTGTGCTTGTCTTCTTCTCTCTTGTCACTGAGGATTGGTCCAGCGCCAACTTCGCCAAGAACTTCCCTGAGGACTCGCGCAACCGTATCTTGATCGGTATCATCTACTCTGGTCTCGCCGCTATCTTCATTTCTTACTGCTCCGCCTGGTGCATCCGAGTCACCTCTTCCACCACCTACTCCATGGTTGGTGCTCTCAACAAGCTGCCCATCGCCGTCTCTGGTCTCATCTTCTTCGCTGCTCCCGTTACCGTTGGAAGTGTTTCGGCCATCTTTATCGGTTTCGTCTCGGGTATCGTGTATGCTTGGGCCAAGGTCAAGGAGAACGAGGCCAAGAAGAACGCTCTTCCCACAGCTGAGAGCCGAGAGCCATCAAAGTAAATTTGACATGGCACGGCGATGGCTTATCAGGGACTATCACCAATTGGCAGGTCTCATCAGCTACTTCGCCATTTTTGGCCAACATTTCCATTTAGTCTGGTTAGACCTGAACGACAATAATGTACCGTTCCACGGTATTTGAACGACACACGTAATGTAGACTTTTTTTGGTATAACGTCGGGGGCAAGAGCTCGCTATCTCGATGGGGGTTTAGGGTGTCATTTAAAAGCGTTTATAGACCTGCTTCAATATACTGTCTTTTTGCCAATGCAAATATGATGTCAACAACAATGGTGCAAGGCTACTTAGTAGTGAAGACGAACCAACAGACAACGCTCGAGCCTTGATGACGTCTAGTATAGAGGGAGGGAACACGGCTCAGCCCTGCCCGTTGACATGGGAGACTGGTTAACGTTTAACGGCGTGGCCTTGGCACAGATCTCGCATGGCATGGCATGTTGCACAGCAATACACTACAGCAACGTGCACAAGAGGCTGCACAAGTCCAACGTTACATCAGTACATCTTGTGAGTCTTCACTAACAACGCCATGTCCTGTACAGAGTTAAGAAAGTCTATAGGCCAAGACGAATACAGTAAAAGACCGAAAGTACACATCTTCAAGAAACCACCTGCCAGTAATTAAACTTATCCATAATTTCATCTCACCTTAAAGTCATGCATTAATCTCCATGTGCTCCTCCTTCATCTCACCTCACCCCCTATCTCCTGCAGAACAGGGCTGAGCCATCCCGTCAGATTAACCCAATTTTCGCTCTCAACCCCGTTTTATGCATATGGAGTGACATTCCACCCCCTTTTCCATAAAAGCATTTTGTGGCGTAAGGCATTGTCATTCTTTCGCTGGTGAAAAAAGAAAAAAGACCGTTCTGGAACGGCGGGCTCTGTTCCTCTGACATGTTTCTAGGCGCGGGGGAGGATCGCTACCGTTGGGCTGGGACGCGTTGGTTCGAGTCGAAGCCTTTAGCGGGGGGACCCTAGAATCAATAGTCTAGCCCTACGACAAGATGCAATTGTGTTCGAGATATGGAGTGCAATGGGGATTGCATGGTATATGGTGGTTTTAGCGATATGGTGTATATTCGGCCCCAGGGTAGACAGAGGAAGAGATGTAATTTTAGTTTATAGACTGGCGTTTTGCTAATTGTTCAGCTCCGTAATCTTACGGTAGTTTGTATGGAGAACAGTAAAATGTTAGTAGGGACTTCAGTTGAATCCTTGACCTGGTTTGAGGACTAAGAAATGTTTCATGAAGAGTGCTGATGAGAATTTAGAGTAGGATCACAAGATTAAAGATTAGCTTGTTTTACATGTAATGGAGCCTCAGCTTACACAGGCAAGGATGAGGAAACATCAAAGGATTTCACCGATTCTTAACACCAAACAAAGCAAAGCCCAAGAGAAACGTAGTCATTCATCTATCAAATCCAACAAAGGAGATCTCATTATACGCCGTGCCATGCCGTTCAATCAATAACAGATCCACCATGAACCTGTCTGTAAACTTTTCCGTCCCAGTCATTTCACCCCACAGACACACCTTATACGCTGATAGTCCTGAAGACGCTGAACTCTTCTCCTGTGGCGACCAAGCTACCTGTGATCTGAGGGTGCCAATGCACCTCCTTCACATCCTTAAGGTAGTGCACGAACAGCAGCTGGGGCGGCACGTCCTTGACACCCGCTGTGTCCTTGCTCTCTTCGTCGTCAAGCTCCACAGCAAGATCCCAAAGTGTGACAGTGTTGTCACCAGCGGCGACGGCGACGATTGAGTCGTCGGTGGGATGCCACTCAATGCTTGTGATTTGCTCCTTGTTGAAGTTGAAGCTGGCGATGGGCTGGGGCTTATCGGAGCTGGCCTTCCATTGTCGGAGATCCCAAACACCCCAGGCACCGTTGTCGTCTCCGGAGGCGAGCAGATGAGTTGTCTGGCGCGACCAAGACATAACGTTGACGTCGACATTCGAGACCTGCATGGTGATTGCGGCCTTGCGAGATTTGGATCGCACATCCCAGATGCGAATGGTGCCGTCACTTGAAGCGGAGGCAAAGACAGATTGCTCAGAGGGTGACCACTGGAGCTCCTCGACACTGCTGGTGTGGCCCTGGAAAGGCCGGTTGTCGGTGACCCAGCCGCCTCCATCGGTGCGTGTTGTCACGTAAATGAGACCGTCGTTGTCACCAGTGAGGAGCTTACCGCCGGGAACTGTGGGAGACCAGTCAACGGCGTAACCTTCGGTCTTGTGGGCGCGGACAGTAGAGATAGGCTTGTTCTGCTGAGCGGAGATAGTAGTTCCGGGGTTGTCGAAGGAGGCGAGATGAGGAGTAATATCATGGATAAAGACGTTGCTTGACTCGGTCATAGTAGCAGTAAGAGTAGTTCCAGGTCGTCCAGCCTCTTGGCTAGGAATCTGGTGGGCGCGGATACGGTTGGTCGTAGAGTTGAGAGGGATAGACTTGCTCTCCAGGATAGGGTCAGAGTCCTCATCGTCGTCGTCCTCTGAATCAGACCCCTCGTCACCACGGTCCATCTTGCTGAGACCACTGAATTTCATGACCATGATCTGGTTGTCAGAGGCCTTTCCAGTCTCGGCTTGTGTTCCAGAGACAGTGTACATGGTAGCAGGGTAGGCCTTGCGGTTGTCGCCAAGGCCATCGCGGATGATATCGAAAGAAAGGCATGGCCACGGTGTGCTGAGGTTGTGCAGCATCTCGTAGGTTGTCAGATCGGGGGCGAGGGTCTGGCCGGGCTCGAGTTTGCTTCGTCCGACGATGAAGGTTCCTTGGTCGACTTCCATGGCATCTGTTCATAGCATTAGAATGAATTCTGAGCAGTTCATGGGTGATGATAAGCTTACCCTTCTCTTCAGCCTCGCGCTCAGCATCAGGTCGTCCATCAACACCAGCCTCAAGAATCTCATCCTCGCTCTCGAACTCGTCCTCGAACTCATCTTCAAACTCTCCCATCTCCTTGGTGTTGTCGTCAATGTCCATCTTCTCAGGGCGTTCGCCGCCCTTGAGGGCATCGCCGTGATCGGCCTCGGCGGTTCTCTTTGCCATGATTGGAATATGCGGTGTTCTGTGGTTCGATCTACGAATTGAAACCACAAAAAGAATGAATTTTTAGTTATTGTCGGCTTTTTGGTGCCCCTCCAAATCGACTGAAGGAAAAAAATAAATTGGAGACTAAGTGCTGAACCCCGCCATGACGCGGGGCTTTCCGAGAATTTACCGGCGCAAAGCCTCTTGTGGGATGAAAGAGATCATTCATTGGGATGGGAAGAATTAAAGTATGAGTGCGAGAAGTAACTCGATTGGACCTCTCAAGTTATTTTGTGTCTTTATATATATTACACGACTAGAGGCGATACAAGTAAAGGGAGAAACTCTACCAGAATGTACATGTCTTTGATGAAAGGCATTGATCATAACCGCCGTATGGCATGAGCATGATGAAATCGTGGTGATTGTCCAAGTCAAAGGGTAGAGTTAGATCTGGATTGTATGACAGTCTACAGATAATTTGACCGAGGCACGAGTTGTAAGACGATCTGATCTCAATCAAGTCTTGCCATATTTAGATAAGATACCCTGAATTGCTGATAAATTCAAGCCTCGCTTCGCCCCGTACAGATCCGTCGTATTCGCGGATCGTAGTTTGATTCCAAATGGCTTCCAATTCCGTTATTACGCATTGAATACGTTCCAGGGACATAGCTCGGCCGGGCCTGTTTTGTCAGCAGTTAATTCCATTCATTCAGCGGCACTCGGCCCAAAGAACCCCACGTCAGCCTCTCCGAAATTTCACGATTGTGTCATAGTGCCTGTCATGTTCACCACCACCGACTCCCGGGTTCCTGAATAATTGAGTAAGGTAGGTCAGGTCGAGTAATCAATCAATCAATCGCGAGACTGGAGCTTCTAGAAGCCTGAACAACCAAGTATATAAACGTATCCACTCCGCTACAGTAGGTAGATCCATCTTGACCTTTTGAATTCTACCCCTCTACGGAGTGTATCATATTTACTTTAGTTAGTACTTATATAAACACAAACCCCCCACCAAAACCCCTCAACCCTTCATCAACAGACCCAAACACACCTACAGCAAAACAAAAACCACAAACCACTCTCCAAAATGGCTGCTCCCTCCGCTGTTGTCGAGATCAAGACTAAGGCTCAATTCGACGAGCTCGTCAAGACCACCCCCTACGTCGCTCTCCAAGCCCACGCCTCATGGTGCGGTCCCTGCAAGGCCATCTCCCCCATCTTCAACAAGCAGGCCGCCGAGCACAAGTCCGACAAGTACGCCTTCGCCAAGTTCGACACCGACGATGTCCCCGATCTCGCCTTTGAGCTCGGCATCCGCTCCATCCCCGCCTTCTTCTTCTTCGAGAACGGCGACAAGGACAGCGATCTGCTCGGCGCTGTCCCCCCCAAGCTGACTGCCGCTGTCAAGGGCTATGCCGACAAGGCCAACGGTGCTGCTGCCGAGAAGCCCGCCGAGGAGAACACCCTCAAGACCGATGAGAACTTCTAGACGGAAAGACTCGGGTGAAATAAATATAAACACTACGGAGCAAATGGCGTCAAGAACGCATATTCGCAAGGATACCCCCCCCTATAAACAAGGCGCACATCACATCACGGGCACCATTCACCAAGGCGAAGACCATCATGAGCTAGGATTGCGACATATGGCTATGCGAAAGCGCAGGGCTTTGAGGAGGATGGGTTGCATTGCTTAGCTAGAAATAAACCTGATCACTTCAACGCAATTCTTGTCTCTTTGTGAAATATTTGTAATTCTTTTTTTTATTGACTCTAGAGGTAACCTCCGGATTGTATTGTATATATGTACTGTAATATCAAGTAAATGTTCGCTGTGGCTCATTCTTGGCCGTGTAATCCGAGACTTCATATCTCGCTATGCTAAGGATTCCAGAACTCATACCATCGTCAAACTCCTCTTACTCCT